AACAGCAACCAAGGTACATGCCCTTAGTGGGAACTGAACCCGTGTCTCTTCAGACTGCAGGCCAATGCTCTAACTGCTGAACCAAACTGGCCAGAGCTATTAGTTTGTTTTTGTTACAGATGTTTCTCATTTTTCCCCCATTGACACCCTCCTCCCCCACCCCCCCCGCCCCATCCCCAGCTTTATTGCATAGCCAATGATGCATCAGATAAGGGGTTAATTTCCAAAATATATAGAGTACTCATACAACTCAACAAAAGGAAGACAAAGAACCCAATTAAAAAATGGGTAGAGGACCTAAATAGACACCTCTCCAAACAGGACATACAAATGTCCAAGAGACATAAGAAAACGCTCAGTGTCACTAATCATCAGAGAGATGCAAATTAAAACAACTATGAGGTATCACCTCACACCTGTCAGAATGGCCACCATCAACAAATCATCAAACAACAAGTGTTGGTGAGGGTGTGGAGAAAAGGGGAGTCTATTACACTGCTGGTGGGAATGCAGACTGGTGCAGCCACTGTGGCAAACACTATGGTGTTACTTCAAAAAGTTAAAAGTTGAACTTCCATTTGACCCAGTGATCCCACTTCTAGGAATACACCCTAAGAAACCTGAAACACCAATCAGAAAGAATATATGTTCCCCTATGTTCATAGCAGCACTATTTACAATAGCTAAGATCTGGAAACAACCCAAGTGTCCATCAGTAGATGAGTGGATAAAAAAAACTGTAGTAAATGTACACAATGGAGTACTATGCAGCTGTAAGAAAGAAAGATCTCTTATCCTTTGAGATGGCATGGAAGGACCTGGAGAGTATTACGCTAAGCGAAACAAGCCAATCAGAGAAAGACAAATATCACATGATCTCACTTATTTGTGGAATATAATGAGCTAAACAAACTGCTGAACAAAGTTAACCCAGAGATATAGAGGTGGGGTACAGACTGACAACTCTCAGAGGAGGGGGTTTGGGGGGGAAGAGATAAACCACAGAACTTACATGCATGTATGCATGACCAATGAATATAGACATCAAATGTCATTTGTAAGAATGTCTTTCCCATTCCACCCCTCCCCCCAAAGTTTTTTGTTGCATCTGAAATAGTCTCCAAGTTTCTGGAGAGGATTTAAAAAATCATTTTATGGCAACAGTTAGAACAAAAATTCCTGCAATGATTTAAAAAAATTTTTTTTTTCTTCTTTGGAATAGAGAATCAAATCTGTACATAATGTTGACCCAAATTATATTGCTTGTGTAGACACACAGAGCAGTAACTAACCCATGAACATATCTACCCTCAAAAGTCCCTGGGAGGGTGAAGAACCTGAGATATGACTACTACAATGTGTGTTCTGTTGATTGCCCTCAGAACTATAAAAATTCAGTTGAAATAATGGCTGGTAATAGAGCTACAACAAGGGAAAATAAATGTGTTCAGCAACATTTAACTGTAGTTTTGTGGATTTGCCCTAACATCTTGACACAATTCCAAAGCATGGAATGACAATGAAAAACAAAAACATAAACCAAAATATGTCTTTTTAGTTTGAACGATGAGAAGAAAACTCATTGCTTCAACTTACATAAACACGTATAAACACACATGGCCAGTTTGTTTCTAGAGGACATGCCAGTTCTTTAGAGATGAGAAAGTCAGACCTCAGGCCTGGGACCTAATTGGAATCATTTATTGTTCATGATTTAGTTTTTTTTTCTTTTTTCCCATAGTTCATCACTTGTCAAGCTTAGTTAACAACAATAGAAAATAACTTTTATTTTAATTTTATACCACCATAAATGAGAATGAATTGTAAATTTTGTCAAAAAGAAGTAAGTGAATTTAGAAATGTGTTTAAGACATCCTGCTCATCTGGAATGTGGCTGGGTTCAGCCCATCATCATCCTTGAAATATTTTTTCCTAAATGAGTTTAGACAAATGAACAAATTGAAACATTTATTTTTTTGGTGGGGTGGGGGTGGGGGGGACTTGTCAAGTAACTCCAAAGTTGTGACTCTGTGTGTGTATTTGTTGAGAGCCAAGAAAGGGAGAGTCAATTGGGACCTAAGGAGATATAATTAAATAAGTCTGCTTTGTTCTGTAACAGCGACTGCAGAGGAACAGAATACATTTTCATCTCCGCTCTGATGCTGTTCGTGATAGAGACAGTTCATGTGATACAGAAGTTAACCTGCCTCATGGAAAAAAGTAATGAAGGTTTCTGTGTCTGGTGCTGAATCACAACCTTTTCAAACTCTTTCCCCAGTGCATTTATCCCTATTAGAGAACCCTATCAAAATCCCCTATAATCTATGTGGGTAAACAAGCATAAAAGTACAACGGAATTATTAATGATGGGGGAAGTGAAAGATTAACTTCTTTTTTCAAAACTAAAAGGCATCTCAGAACATGTCCTTTGCTTTTACTCAAATATGAGGGCCTGGAAAATAGCTTATTTAAATATACAGGTGTTTTTATGTTGCTCTTAAATCTTTGTGTTTTACTGTAGTTTCCTCCCATATGTTCATTGTCAACGAACAGCTTAGAGCTGATGAACTGTGTAGAAATGTTTTGTAAAGCTGCAGTTCTTCCTTTCTGACAACTGTTTCTTTTGTTTAACTCAAACTTCTTGTAAAAGATAATATAATTTATTGCAATATTTTTGTCTACAAAACATGGCCAGTAAGGGTACCTTTACAAGACATAAAAGGGGGTTTAGTTAGATCATTTCTTTTATTGTGATTAAAATGAATGTGGCACCAACATTATTGTGCTTTGGGAAGATCACTCTGGCCACCGTGAGGGAAGTGAGGTAAGGCTGGAGCCAGGGACACCAGATTGAGAGCATTACAACAGTCCCTGGAGGAAATAGTGATGACCTAAATTAAGGTGTGGGGGGAGGGGAGAAGGAGAATAAGGAGCATAACTCAGGGATGTTTTAGGAAATAGACTTATTGCAAGGGTATATTGAAGGGAAAGAGGATTTGTTACGACTGAAGAATATCTTCCTTAGATGATGTTAAATAAAATTAATTGAGACAGGGGAAGCAGAGGAAAGATGCTGCTGTGACATGTTGACGTTGAGATGCCTTTGATGCGTGCATGTGGTTCAGTCAGGAGCTGAGTTGGAAGGAGACATCTCCAGTTTAGAATTGGTAGTCTCCATCTATGTGACTGTTGAGGGGGCATGATTTGAGAAGAGAAGGGAGGGGAGGTAGGAGAACAAGAAAACCCAAATCTGAAAGGATAGGCAGAGGAAGAGGAGGCTGTGAAAGAGTGTCGGAGAAGGCAGTAAGGATGCCTGAGTCTCCACACCCATCACCTGAGAAATAGTTGAGTGAATGGGCCATGGTTGGCCCTAGAGAGATCAGATTCTTTAGAAAATGGCATAGTGTATCTCGTTTTTTTTTTAAAAGATGGACTAGATGTAATCTGTGTTACTCCTGAGAACACCGAGGAATTTTGTGGAAGTCAGTTCTGCTTTTGTTTATGGAATCCTTTTCAAAGGACAAAAACACACAAACAGGAGGTAACTACCTCAATGCATTTTTAGCTGCCTCCCCATTAAAGATGGTCTTACTGATCATCAGTTAAGAAGTAAGTCCTGATTGGTGGGGGCTGGGTGGGAGACACTAGATGATTTCTAAGATGCTCTGAAATCTTAGAGTCAATGAAAAGTCTGAAAGTCATACTTTTTATGAAAGTGTGCTGCAGACTTTTAGCTCAGCTTCAAGGGAACGGTGCCATGCTATAGTGACAGAATCCACATGCACAGTAAAGAGTATTTCCCCTTTGTGTTCGCCCCAGATTGGGGTACCTTGGTCTTCCTTTCCCCAGGTTGTAATAGTCAGGCTTAGAACTTGCATGAATTAACCATTAAGGTTATGAATTTCCTAAGGAAAAATTAGATAACTTTTCTTGCATTGTTATCCTATTTGTATTTGAAAACAAGAGATACTTTCATGGTTGTATGTAGTCTGATAGTCAAATGATCAATATTGCTTTTCTAGCAAAGATATAATCTTTTATAATATACATTTGTTATTATGTTAACTCCACATCAGAACCTGAACATAGAGAGGTTCTCTTTCTTTTTTTAAAAAAATTATTTTAATTTTTCATCACCATTTCTCCCCTCTATGCCCTCTTCTACCTTCATGCCCCCCACCCCCACAATCACCTCACTGTTGTCCATGCCCATGAGTCTAGAGAGGTTCACTCTTACTGTGGCACCATAACGCTGTATCTGCTGTACCAAAGAAGAATGAGACAGAAACACCCATTGTTCTCAGGAAATCTTTGAGAATATATTTAATGGAAGTAACCAGATGTGTTGGTCACATTTGATCCTGTCACAATCAGGAAGGTGTGGCAGGGTTAGGAAGGCTATGACTTATTATACAGAAAAACCTCTCTGATGGGACATGTAGAGTGAAGTTAGTGTGTTGGGATTATAACTAGAAGTAGACTTGACTGGAAGTTAGGTTGTTTATATGATTTCTCCTCAGTTACATAGACTTTATTATACTAAATTACAATTTGCATCATTCAAATGCAAATACATTTTCAAAAGCCCTGTGTGGGCTTCCTATGATTCATTTTGGGCAAGAGCTGCTCAATGTTGTACATATTTTAAAGAGTTTAGTGATGCAACTCATTCCAAGAAAAAAAAAAAAGTGAATTTGAAAGTGCTCTTCCTGTTGGAAGGGATGTTGTAATCACATCAAATTCACATCTGGTTTTGTTTTGCTGACTGTCTCTCCTCTTGGCTTCCCTAAAGTTCATGTGACCTATGACATATGATGGGCTTTACCTGACTTTTCCTCATTTCTCAGAGTCTGGGTATTCCCAGACTTATGACCCCGATAAAATATTGACTATAAAAGTAAGGAACACAAAGGAAAATTTGAAAAGCATAACAAGCTAACGATGTTATCATGGAAATGTGGAAATTCATTCACTAGTAACACTTAATTTTTGGCTTTTAGGAACTGATCTTGCAGCTAAACGGACTGCTCATAACACAGGACACTTCGTAAGTCACCGAACTTCCCTTGGCAGTTTATTTTAACATCTTTGCTGCAGAAGGTAAGAAAATATCCACCCAGCTTTTAATACTCTCCAGCTGTCCATTGTAAAGAACTTGACATGAGGCTTAGGGAGAAAATTGTACTTGGTTTAAATTCTAAAAGAAACTCTAGTAAAATCTGCTTCTCTTTAGTCTCTGCTCTCAGGAGATGTTTTCTCTCTTCAGCCCTGTCACGCTGCTTCATTGCATTTCAGTGGCGATTTTGTGGCCATGGGTTAGGATACTTAGTGGACAGTAATTGGTGTGAGCTTCTCTTTTGATCTTTTTCTGACTTGGTTCTTTCAGGTGGGGAACATGGTGTAGAGACATGTAAACAGGTCCTGTGGAACATTGATCATGCAGCATGCTTCATGCTAAGAAGGGTACATGGTACAAATCAGTTTGGGAAATAAATTTAGAGTTTATAATTAGAGACAGCATGCTAAAGCACCTGAAAAATTCTTCAGTAAGGAAGTCTTGCTGCCCTGGCCAGGTAGCTCAGTTGATTAGAGCATCATTCCCACACACCAGGGTTGTGGTTTCATCCCTGGTCAGGGCATATATAAGAATCACTCAATGAATACATAAATAAGTGGAATAATAAATCAATGTTTCTCTCTCTCTCTTAAATTAATTATAAAAAAACAACACACCTAAAAAGCAAAAAAGAATCACTACTTAACTCTTTAACTCAGTAGTAGAGCACGGTATTTAAGGGCAGCAACTTTGAACATGGAGAAACTTGGACTCAAATCTCAGGCTCACTATTGGCTATAACAGTTGGACAAATTACTTCCCTGTACAGTGGGACTCCCCAGAATACCACATGTGCAATGGGAATGATGAGAACGAATAATATGATGCCTATAAAACATTTGGCAGAGTGTCGGGTCACAGTCAGCACTCAATTACTCATTTTTTAGTAAAATATTGAAAAAACAAAAACAAAAATAGGAGGCTAAGTATTTTAAATATGTTTTTATTGATTCTTTTAGAGAGAAAGGAAGGGAGAGAGAGATAGAAACATCGATGTGAGATACATTATTTGGCTGCCTCCTGCATGCCTCCTACTGGGGATTGAGCCCAAAACTGGGCATGTGCCCTGACTGGGAATCAAACCAGGACCTCTCTCATGGGACGATGCTCCATCCACTGAACCACACGGGCAGGGAGAAATATTCCTATCTTATTTGACTGCATGACTCTTTGGGGGCAACATACAAGAAACAACTCTTCTAAGAAAATATGATGGGAACGCTGGATCGGTAGGTTGAGGCATAAATTAATACTTTCAAAGAACTGAGCCAATACCCAGTGTGGCATGTGCCTTCTCTCTGTAGTGAGCTGCTACTTCTCTCCCAGTGTTGTTTCATAGACAGACCGTCCAGAACTTTGGTGAATAATGTGACATTGACTTTGAAACACACTCCACAAAGGTTCCTGTAAACAAGGCCAATGTTCTGTTTTGAATATTAACACCTAAGCTCGAGGTTGTAAACACCCAGAAAGAAGCTCCACATGTGAGTGAGGAAGAAGGAAACACTGTTTTCTCCTATGAAGAAGTTAATGAAAAACGTGAACACCTATGGGCGGAGGGTTGGAGCCAAGTTGTCCTTTAGAACAGAGACGAAGTGACAAGGCTGATAATCCACAAGGGTCTAGGAGGTAATTGCTTTTTCAGCCCAAGTGAAATACAGGAAAGGTTTATGTTCATCTCCAATAACTAACTGCCCTTTTTAGTTTTCTTTTCTCCCTCCGAGGTACTTCCTGTCCTTTTCTTAATTCCTTCTCATCCTCGGCATCTTGCTCAGATAAAACCCTGTGGAAACCTACTCTTGCTGAACTTTTGAAAGGACCTGACCATTAATTCATGAGAAAGCAGGGTTTGTCAGCCTCAGCACTACTGACAACTTGGACTGGAAGATTCTTTATTGTGGAGAGCTGTCCTGTGCATTGTGGGATGTTTAAGCAAATTTCTGGCCTCTACCCACCAAATGCCAATAGCACTCTTCACCTTATTTGTGACCACAAAAATTGTCTCCAGACACCACCAAATGATCTCTGGCAGGTAAAAATCTCTCCTTCCTGTACCCAAAACCACTCAGTATAAATACTTTACAGCAGTTGAATCTGGACCATTCTGGGAGTCAGTGTCCGTTTTTATCACATGCCATTTCTTGATTACCCAAGATTGAACTTTGAACAGAAAATTCATTTATAAGACACATGTAAGGGAAGAATGGTTCTGTACAATCCCATCGAGGAGGTGGATGCCCCCTGTATTTCAATCAAAGGGGCCAAATCTGTTAGTGTGAACAAACTCTCCTCCTAGAGGGCTGATAGCTTTCAGGCTCTGCCTGCATACGTACAACATGTTGAAGCCTGGTTCCCACCGTTCACTCCAAACATTTTTAACAGTGAGCATTGAACAGTGAAAAGGCTCTCCGGTCGTCTGACTTTTTCATGAATAAAGCAAAATAGATCGACAGCTAGTATTTTTGTCCTTTGGTAACTGAATTAGGTTTACTGTTGAACAAATCTGATGGTGGAACAGCACTTCCAACAAAGGCAAAAAGCAAATTCTAAATGGATGGTATGTCAGTGTCTTTAAATACACATTTGGCATCGAATCAGCAAGAATAAGGGCTGGAATCCAGAGACTGCCATTTTCCCTTGAATTTGCATGTGGCTTTTTGCTTTGCGCCCTTTTGCATGCGTGCTCCTACCTCTTCCTTCCTCCTCCGATTCTTCTCTGTGAACCCTTGTTTAACAAAGAGGAACAAGTACCGTGCAATGAAAACATTGGCTGTAAGTCATTTCAGCTATAAAATGTAGCTTTTTGGAGCCCGGTAATTAGCCCTGTGGTTCCAGAAATGAGAAATACTGCCAACATCTGAATGTGTTGTTTAATTGGTCCACAGGGGGGACCTGGGAGTGTCCGAGAGACCAGTTTTTGACTTTTTATTCTAGCTTTTCTCCGGACCTGCAATATCCCCTTGCTAATTATTTACCACAATTAACTGTTTATTTTGTGTGGTAAAATACTATTGGTACCGCAGAATTCATAGCTCTGACACTGGAGGAGCCTTTCCAAAGCTTGCATGCTTGGCAGGCAAAAATGTGTGCTTTGTAGATTCAGTGAAAAGTAAGTGGGAATATTTCTCTATGGCCTCAGTATGGCTTGGAACAACAGCGACAATGTTATCTGTGAAGCCCAGGTTGGTAGCTATGCAAAATTCTTGCATTGGTCACAGAGAAAATAATGAACTAATTTATTTTAGATATTTAAAGTATGCTCAAAATTCTCATTGCTTCATGGAATTCATAGTTTAAGAAAAGGTTGTATGCTATATAAATGTGCAGATTTGAAGTAAAAATAGGCAAAGCACTGAGTGACCCGAATTGTGTTTCAGTAATATATTCTCTGAAAGTCAGGTATTAAGGAGATAGTCTCCATTCTGATGTTTGAGCATATGAATTCCCTACAATGAGTTAAGAAGAGGGTTCAGTCCTCTTCCCGTGTTGCCAGCCTGAGAGAATGCATTCAAGTTCATATAACCTTGCACTTCTCTCTTTTAATTGATAAATGTTAATCCCGAGACCGGAAAGTGTGGTTCCAGGGATATTGGGAGTGTCCCTACCAGAAACAAACTGGTTTTCTGAGGTAAACCAGAGCTGAGGTGAATTGAGCCAGTGACTGAAAATCAACTTTTTCTCCTTGACAGGGTAGAGCGCAATAGTGGTCTAATGTTTCCTCCCTCTCCGGGGTGTTAGGGCCTGATCCTCCCAGCATCCAGAGTTACAAGGTGCTCAATAAATGCTGACAGTTGTCATCCCCTTCATAGCATTCCTCCTTGGCTGATATTCTTCCCAGCTCCCCCCTCACAACTACACATCTCTGGACATAATGCAACAAACACAGGAAACCTCTGAAAGGCAAAAGAAGAACGGACTGCCTGGGACCTTGGGACTCGAGGAACGACATGGTGCTGAGTTCCCGGGTTACCTACAAACCAGAACCACCAACAGGCACAGACACAAAATGCTCCAAGGAAACCTGCCCCCTTAGGCACAGGACCAGAAAGCATTTTGAAAACCCCTACCCTACTCTAGCCAAATGCCAAACACCAGTGGAAACTGCTTCTTTCATGCTCTACCCGGGTGGAAGCGGGGCCGAGCGGGAAGCTGGTCTGTCCTGCGCACGGCGGAAGCAGGCAGTGCGTCTGTCCCCTTGTCCTGTGGTGTCAGCAGGACCACATGTGCTATGCCCTGCCCAGGAGAACCAGACGGTGCAATTCTCCTGCCAAGGCAGTGTCAGTAGGGCCCAGCGGTGACCTGAGTCTCCACCTCCATCTAGCAGCAATAAGACTTAGGAGGTGATGCGTGCTGGGTGGCTGGTACCTCACACTCCCCTGGGATGGGCAGGGCTCAGAGGGGAGCTGAGTCTCCACCCCATCAAGTAGCAACCAGATAAAATCAGGTGGTCGGAGACAGGGCTTCTTAGCATTCCTCTCTCCCTTCCTTCCTTTCCTGTTGGAGTGGGAGCTGGTATCCCACGTACCCAGAGGTGTCAATAGGACAGAAGAGGGAAAGAATAGAAGCCCCCTTTCTGTGATAAAACAATGTGAGGTGGTGCCTACTCCTGCCAAGGTGGTGTTGTCAGGGCCCAGAGGGAACCTGAACACACACACCCACCCCACCCTTGCAGTATACCTCACCAGAGGGACAGGCTTCTAAAAGCAGAAAATTAAACAAGATCCAGAGTCTCATACCAGAATATCCAAAAATGCCCTACACACAATAGAAAGTCACTTGTCACATCCCAAACTGGAAACATCAGAACATGAGTGAGGAAAGACAGTCAACAGATGCCAACACCAAGATGAACCAGATGTTGAAATGATCTGACAACAATCTTAAAGCAGCCTCATAAAAACGCTTCACAAGCAATTATGGATGTTCTTGAAACAAATGAAAAAATTAAGACACCTCAGCAAAGAAATAGAGGTTATAAAAAAGG